GAGGAGGAGGAGGAGGAGGAGGAGGAGGAGGGGGGAGAGGGAGGAGGGGAGGAGGGGAGGAGGAGGAGGAGGAGGAGGAGGAGGAGGAAGGAGGAGGAGGAGGAGGAGCTGGAGGAGAGGAGGAGGAGGAGGAAGAGGGTGGAGGAGGAGGAGAGTGGGAGTGGGAATGGGAGGGGGAGGGGAGGGGGAGGGGGAGGGAGGGGAGGGGGGGAGGGGAGGGAGGCAGGGAGGAAGAGGGGAGGAGGAGGAGGAGGAGGAGGAGGAGGAGGAGGAAGGAGGAGGAGGAGTGGGGGGAGGGGAGGAGGAGGAGGAGCGAGGAGAGAGGAGAGAGGAGTAGGGGAGGAGGAGGAGGAGGAGGAGGAGGAGGAGGAGGAGGAGGAGGAAGGCTAAAAGGAGGAGAAAAAGAAGAAGAAAAAGAAAACGCAAGGAGGTAGTAGGAGTAGGAGGCGAGGAGAGGGGAGAAAGAAGAAGAAGAAGAAGAGAAAGAGAGAGAAGAAAGAAGAACGAAGAAGAAGAAGAAGAAGAAGAAGAACAACAGAAGAAGAAGAAAAGGTCACGAAAAATCAGAGAATAAAAAGAAAAAAAGAATAATAGAAGGAATAAGAAGAAAAAATTGAGAACAAAGAATAATTTAAAATTAAGTGGAGCAAGGAAGACGAAAAATAATAAGTAAAAAGAGAAGAGGAGTCAAGGGAAAGAAAAGGAAAAAGAGAAATAAGCCCAAAAAATAAAAAGAAAGAAAAAGGTAAGCGGAAAAATAAAGACAACAAAGAAAATACGAAATTCAAAAAGAAAAGTAATAAAAAGGAGGTGAGAGAGAAGAAATTGAGGAAGAAGTAAGACCTAAAAGAAGAAAAAGAAAAAGAAAAACATGGAAAAAGGAGAGACCAAAACAATAAAAAAAAGAAAAAAGGGAGAAGACAAAAAAAAAGACCATCGAAATATTTTTGTTTGTTTGTTTAAATAACTGTGCGAGACACGGCACCGAAAGATGGCGTATGACAGGTGACAATGACAGGTGACACGTGACATGCGTGAGATGAATGCTCTTGAATGTATGTTTAGTAAAGCCAGAAATATGACAGAAAACAACCCTATATTTCAACGATTTAAATAATAAAGATATTGAAATTTTCTTTTGTGGATAATCGTATAAACTGGAGATTTTGGCAACACTGTTCAGAGAAAGATTATTTTATTTTTATTTTCATTTGTTTATATATTCATTTATCAGCTTATGAGTCTCATTTTCAAAGACGTTTTATTCATCTAAATAACGAATAAACGAAATAAAAAGTAATGATAAGTATAAGAAATAATCATGAAATTCATAACAAGAAAAAGTA